GAAGGTCTCCTGAGAGCTGCTGTTCCCAGTGCCAGCATTCCTGGGAACTTAAGAGAATAATTTCTGGGAGGATACTGTGCTGGGCTAGAGAACAAGAGCCCAGAGAGGAGGAGCCTTTCCAGGGCTTTTACCTACCTACGCTGTGGTCAAAGCACCGAGTCACCATCACATCTTCTGGAGGGCTGAGCACCTGTAAAACCTGAATGGGTCACTCCCTCTTCAGATGGCAAAACAGCTCCATGTCCTAGAACAGCAGTCTTTTCCCGGACGCTTGCTACAGACAGCAAGGGGTGAAACCAGCTCTGCTATGCCTCACTTGAGCCTTGTTTGTCTTCTCCATAGCCCCATTCAGTACTCTTTTTAGAGAAATGTGGGAAATTGTTTTATAGTAATACAGTGACAATCATGCACCTGACGTTTCTGGCATCTCCTTTGGGTACATGTCTCATGCTTACTTGTTCTCATTTCTTCACCCTTAGCAGACAAAGAAATGGCATGGAAGGGAAGATAGTGCTCAGGGAGGCAGTGCTGGCGGGGATGGCCTGTCCTGTAGTGCTCCCTGCATACTGCTTGCGGCTGGCAGACCCACCCTCTGCTGTCTCCTGGGTTAGTTTATACTAGCTCAAGTCCCCTATGGGATGGCCTATTCCTGATATAGGTCCTGAACCTTGGACTTCCATTAGCAGATAGATTCTGCTGCTGAGTCAGATGTGAGCACAGGCCTGATTGATAGCCCTTTCTTCTTGGTGGACTAATCCAAGAAGCTAGTGGGGGTCTGATTAGATTAACGTCATTCTTGGCTATCTTTGTAGCACAGTTATTGTTCTAGGGGTAGTATTGATAAGCCATTTCTCTTGTCTTCCTCCTGGAAAGTATTCCTCCATTGCTTCGGATCAGACCTCCTCTCCTTTCAATACAAATTTTGTCTGTTGCAGGGTGCGTGCACTTGCACGTTATGTGTGTATACTCCGTCTCTTTTTAAAACAAATTCAGTTGTCTACTGATTTTCTTCTGGTTCTTGGCTCTAGGAAGTCTGCAGATAAGGTCTAACCCACATTCACACAACACTTTACAGCCCTATATACTGACTCCTCTCCTCCTTTGGGTTGTTCCACTAGCTTTGAGTAGCTGTGTGTTGAGACCATAATGGCTAGGCAAAACAATTTTGACTCAGTATCAGCCCTGATTAAGATGCTCTCGCTAACCCACAGACCAGAATCTATGTCTGAAATAGGCCATCCCATGAAGGAGAGACTTGAGCTAGCAGAAACTAACTTAACAGCCAACATAGGGCGGGAATGCCAAGAACACAGGCAGTATGCATGGGGGCATCCCCACTGGCATTGGGTGTTCTCTTGGTTACTGCTTGTGTTGTCAGAAGGTCTCTCGCCCTTATGGCCTCAGGATTAGCTCTTATCTGTCTTTGCCTAAATGGCATAAATGAGATGTTGTGTCTTGTTCTTTCTGGCCCTTTACTTCTTATTGCTTACCCCTCTGCATTTCTCATGGTCTGCTCTGTGCAGTAGCTTTTGCCTGTACCTACTTTCCTTGCAGAGAGGCCCCTGCAAGGTAGAGGAGTAAGAGTCTCTTAAAGAGTAGGTCCACACGGTCTCTTCACAAATGAGCTTCTTTCTCTTTATGTGGTCGTCTTCTTTCCCCCACTAAATTTGCTTTACTCATAGCCCCTACCTAAAGTTGAGGCCTTGTTCAGGCTTCTTGATGCTTTTCCTCTGAACTTACTCATTCATCAAACTACACCCCACAGTTTCTCCCACGGTTAGCAGCTGCATTGGCCTGGTCTCATCTTCCCCAGTGAGATTTATTACCAACTGCTCTGGTCGGGGACTTCATCCAGGTACTTATAAATCACTGTCTTGCAAAGTGTTTTTATTTTATTTATTTATTTTTAAATGACCTACACTTGGGCAGTTTGAATCATACAGATAGAATGGAGACAAACTCCTTTTAGCAGGTGTACTTTTAAATTGTTTCCTTTTTAAATTTTCAAGTTACATTTATTTGTCTGTACATGTGTGCATATATGTCACAGTGTTTGCTTGCCATATTGTGCATGTGGCAGTCAGGGGATAGCTTGTGGGAATTGGTTCTTTCTTTGAACCATGTGGGATCTTGGGATTGAACCTGCTGAGCCTCATGCCTCTTACTGTTTTAAGTCTTTCATGACCAATTGAACTGTCTTGCATGAGGACCTTGAAGAATACTGTTCTAAATTCCTCTCTGCTGGGATGATCAGGGTGGGTGAGGCTACAGTTGATTGTCTGGGCAATTTGTTTTACTCTTGGTCTGAAGCACTTTTGATAAGCCCAGAGGTGCAAAGAAGTGTTACCTGACTTAAGACAAAAAGACTTCCTAGCTTGGTTCCTTGCAGGAAAAACTTTTTAGTGGCAGGTTAGATGGACACAGACTCACAGATTTTTGCCTGGCATACAAAAAGAGCTCAGTCCATCAGAGAGCAGGCAGCCATCACACTGTACTACCCCATTTAACTCTCACCAGTGGCTTCTGTCTATAATGAGGGAGTGGAGGCTCAAGATAGTCCAGACTTGCCTAAGGCAGGACTTAGATCTCAGTCTTCTGAACCTTTTCTTCTGCGGCATTGTGTATGGCCCTTGTGTTGATGAGTCAGTAGTGAATGCTTTTTCTCAGGCCTTAGAGTGAGTACTGTCTTCTTGTATCTGGAGCTGGTTTGTCTGGTTGTACAGAGAGCTTATTGTAGAATGGACACCTCTAGGCGGCTGTAGGAGAACAGCGAGGTTTGGGGCAGGACATTTGACCATTCCCAGTGCTGTTCCATTTGTATTTGAAAGTACCATTTGGGTTTTGAAAAGGTTCTACCTGGGATTTCAAGTCTGGGCAGGCCAGACTCCACCATTTTAATCATGCATCCCTGTGTGATGAAGCATACTATTTGACCCCACTTGGCACTAACTGACTCAGGATTATGGGTTTCTGTCAGAGTTGAAAACTTCACTGAGGCTGAATGCAATGAGATTACTTCCTATGGAGTCCTACCTGTGTGTAGCTTACATGAGTTAGTGAGAAATGTCTCTAAGGAACCCAGTGCTCAGAGTCTGCTCAATTTACCCATTCTTCACAGAGCAAATCTATAAGTGGGCCTCTATATCCATTCGGATTGGGGTAGTGGTGGTAGTGGAGGCATAAGAGACTCTGAGGATTGGTGTGCAGATTAAATCAGCTCTGCTTGTGAGGCCCCTGAAAGTGCTTGGTACATTAGCCTGATCAGCTGCCACTGATCAGTATTGTTTCTTAAGTTAGTAAGAAGTGCTTGTTGACAAAACCTTTTGGCCTTGAATAAAGCATTCCTTTCCTTTTGCTTCTGTGTTTGGCTTGCAAACTTTGCTGGACTCCTTGATTGGTTTACACCTGCAGTATTTTCCCTTGCATTATGGAGTCATTTCAGGTCTGAGGGGAAAAAAACGCAATGGTGCATGCAATCCTATCCCTGTGCTGCAGGGGCTGTGCTGACTGCATGGCTTTCTCCCTGTTGTTGGCAGCAACCTGCCCTGATAGTGCTCATGTCCACCTGGTAGCTGTGGGGACCAGGACTGAGAAGTCTAAGAACATGCTTTGCTTGGAGTCTTAGCTCCTGGTTAGTGGATCTGTGTTTTGTTTCAAGTCCAACCTGGTTTCAGAAGCCTCCCAACCCATGTTTTCTTTTCTGAACTACACATTTGTTTGGGTATAGTCACAAAAAAGGTCTGGCCTCCTTAGGGTGGCAGTGCAGAGGGACCTGCAGCCCTAGTAACTTTTTGAACGTGCATCACCTTGTCTGTAAGGTGGGGTGATATTAACCATACTGATTGTTAGGTAGGTCAGGTCAGATGGTGTCTGGAGCCACAGCAAATGGAAAGAAGCATCCAGATTCTGGGGGATCGCATTTATGACCCGAGATTACTGGCTGTAACATAAATTGCACTAGACCAGGCTCAGGAGATAGGTAGCATCCAATGGGGTTATTGTTACTAATTCTTGCCAGAATTCCAAATGCCTTAGAATCACTGTCAGCACAAAGCCTTGGGTAGATTTCCTATTGTCCTGAAGATATTGACACCTACTTACTTACTGGACTTGGAGCATCCTGCTGCTGGTACTGAACTGTCACCGCTCAGCCCTGTACAGGGTCTGAAGCCAGTGTCAGTCTCTCAGTTCTGGATAGATAGGTACCTGAAAGGGATTTTCCCCTTCTATGGGACCATTTTGGAGTAAGCAAGGTAGGATCCTAGCCCTATGTGCCCCAGTGTACAGAAGTTGTTGTACTTTTTAGAAGCCTTAGCTGGCTTTTCTGGGTGAGAGAATAATATTCTAGCTTGTGTCGATAAATCTTCATAGGATTGTGGCAATTACACACTTGCTTTTTTTTTTTTTCAACCAGATTGTCTCCCTTAGGGATGCACCTCACCTGGGATAAACAACCAGAAAATAATATGTTTTGATTTTACAGGGATCCCAAATCATACATTATTTTGGAAGCTGACTCTCCTGAACCCTTCAACTGGGTGTTTGGAATGTGGGTCACCAGGTGTGACTAAGCTCCTGTGGCTGCAGTCTATGAATCAAATTAGTGACTCTGTGTATGGAGGTCACCTTTCGACTTCCAGGGCATGGTAGAATTATTGACAGGACATTGTGTAGTGATGGTATAGCAGTGACCATTACAATAGCCATTCATCTCTTACCCAGAAGTACAGAAGACCTGCCACTGTGGGGAATCCTGGTTAAAGGGCTACAGACCCGTCTAGCTTCATAACCACCTGCAGGGGAAGTATGCAGTCCTACCCTAAACATCAGCACAGTAGGGAGATCTTGGGCCCCTTCAGCCTGTGCTTTTCCTTCTCAACAGCAGGGAAGACTTGGAGTTGTGCTCATCCTTACAGTGAACTAACTTGGCTATAAGCAGCTCCTTTTTTGATAATCGGAAACTGGCTGGGCCCAGAGTCACCTTGGTATTTTTGTCCTAGGAATATGAAGACAAGGCTGGAAGACCAAGCAGGCCACCCTCTCCAAAGCAGAATGTGAGGAAGAACCTGGATTTTGAGCCGTTGTCCACCACAGCACTCATCCTTGAGGACAGACCTGCGTGAGTCTGGGGAAGAGCCTCTGTGCTGTCTGCTGTGGGGATGAGGCTAGCTTGCAGGAAAGGGCAGGAGAGTTACCTCTCTGTCAGCCTTCACTCAATGTGACACCAAATGGTGACTTGGGAAACTGTCCTGTGTCATAGAAATTTAACCAGGATTTTCCTTTCAGGCAGTATTTGCTTATAGTTTACCATCCAGATTTACATTGTGTAGCCATTGTAAGTATAAGGCCAATTTGGGAGTGCAAGGAACCCTGTAAGCATGCTCCAAAGTGGTACTTTGAAGGTACCTTTGTCTGCAGGACACCTCCTAGAGTGGCCTGTGGAGTTTCTTGGGTGGTGCCTTACTATTCCTGCTGTGTGGTGAAGAGATCATGCTTGGAGATCTTCCTGGAGGAAGAGGTCATAGCTAAACTAATTATGAATTTACACAGAAAAGTGTATTGGTGAGAAGGTCTCCTACTTGAGGAAGAACAACAACAGGCTGTCCAGCACTGGGCTAGGCAATTCCAGGGTCCTGTCCATTTCTGATATTTAAAACTGTGAAGTCAGGTCAGCGAGATGGTCAGTGTCTTTAGAAAGACACTGGCTGATGTGCCATCAGACAAGCCTGATGACGAGTTTGATTCCTGGCACCTGAATGGTAGAAAGAGACAACTGACTTTTGAAAGTTACCCTCTGAATACACACACATACATACATACACACAGAGAGAGGGGGGGAAGGGAGGGGAGAGGAGAGGAGTGGAGCGGAGAGGAGAGGAGAGGAGAGGAGAGGGAGGAGAGAAAAAAAGAGAAAATATAATTAAAAAAATTAAAATGTGAAGTCTAAGCAGGAGTGTATCTACTGTTAGTTCCTGGTTCTTGGAGACCATGAATTGGGGAAACGCTGAAAAGGAGGAGGTTGGGACTTTAGGGTGAAGAGAAGACCAGCTTTTTAGTGTACTGAGAGGTAGACTGGGGACTTGCCACGTTTAGCCAGTGGTTGTGGGTTGCAGTCTCACTGGGAACTTAGTGGTTATGGTTATGGTATTTATGAGCTGTAGACCAGGCGCCACCACATCTCATGAAGTCAGCTGCCAGAGTCCACTGGCATTTTCTATGGAATGCGTATAGCTTCTGTGTGCATTTGTATAGAAAAGAACAAAGGAACTACAGAACTATATTAGTTATTGCTCTCATTGCTGTGGCAAATACCCAGCAAAAGAAACTCAAGGAAGTAAGGATTTATTTTGGCTCACGGTTTGAGGGTTACTCTATCATGGTGGAGAAGGCAGGGTGGCAGGCGTGTGAGGTGCCGATGACATTGCATCAGCAGTCAGGGAGCAGAAATAATGCTGGTGCTTAGCTTGCTTCCTCCAGCCTTTGGCATGGTATCACCCACATTCCTTCTTTAAACTAGTCTGGAAATACCCTCATAGACATATCCAGAGGAATGTTTCTTAAAGTGTTGTAGCAGACAGAGTGATTATCACAAGAACTGATATGAAACTGAGCTCTTAAACGGGCATATAATAATACTGTGAGGTCATCCTGATGTGAGGATCAGCCGTTGACACTACTGCTTTGCAGTCAAATCAGTTTCTTTGCAGAATAGAGTACTTTTTTGTCTGTATCTTTATAACCCAATATTTCACAGTGAGTATTTTGCTTTGTAAGAAATGTCTCTGCAGGGAGATAGCTCGGTGGTGGAACTCTTGACTAGTGTGTGTAAGGCCCCAGGCTCTGTCACCAGCTGAGCAAAGTAGCATATACCTATAGTCCCAGCACTTGCGCTGCTACGGTAGTAGGGTCTCCTGGGCTATGTAAAACTGTCTTGACAAAACAAATAGAGTTTTAGGTTATGAAAGAATTATAGTTTTAAATAATTGATTTTTTTTTTACTTTGGGTTTTTTAACTTTTATTCAATAATGCTTCAGGAATTTTTTTCCTCAGACTTTTTCTAGTTGTAACATGCAAACCTACTTATTTCCTATCAAGAAATCTCCCAGCAAAACCAGCTGAAGAAGCCCAAAAGCACAGACAGCAATATGAAGAGATGGTGGTGCAGGCCAAGAAACGAGGTACCGTGAAAGCGCGTCACATCCTGTGGTGTGGGTGCTTTCTTCTTCCCTTCCGGAGCTCTCCTCCATGACGGTCTTTACACTTCAACATGTATAGTTTTTCCATTAAACAAACAATGATACTTCTCTCTATTCCTGGTAGCATAAGAGTCTTACATGAGAGGAGGGTATGGTACCACATACCTGCTAACCTAACCAGTTGGGGAGTTGAGGCAGGAGACTTGAGTTCAAAGCCAGTCTTTACTATATAACAAGAACCTGTCACAAGGAACACATAGACTTACATGAGAAAAGAGACTGTAGGGTAAGAAGTATGTGCTAGAAAGAATTGCAGCCAATAGTGACATGCAGCTGTTTTCCCCTTCTTGGGCTATTTTCACAGATATGAGTGGATTTGGTAAGTTCCTTTGCAACACCTAATGTCTTAGTTGGGGTTCTGTTGCAGTGAAGAGACATCATGACCATGGCAACTTTTATAAAGAAAAATATTTAATTGATGATGGATTACAGTTTCAGAGGTTTAGTTCACTATCGCCATGGTGCAGATCATGGTGGCATGCAGGGAGACATGCTGCTGGAGAAGGGGCTGAGAGTTGTACATTCTGATCTAAGAACTCAGACACACTTTTCCCAATAAGACCGCACCTCCTAATAATGACACTCTTTATGAGCCTATAGGGCAAATTACATTCAAACTACCATACCTATAGCTCTGGATCTGGAGTGATTGTTTTGTTTTTGTTTTTTTGAGGCAGGATTTCTCTGTGTGACAGCCCTGACTGTCCTGAAACTCTCTTTGTAGGACTCTAGAGTATTTTAAAAGTACATATAATAAATAAATGGAATATCATTCACCCTTTAGAAGGAAATTCTGACATGTTACAGAATGGTTGAACCTGATTGATCCATAATGAAGCAAACCAGGAACCAAATGACAAATACTATGATTCTGTTTCTTTGACTGCCGAGAGACAGTGTATTGAGATCCTCTTAAGCAGAAGGGGATCCACCTGGGGAGGGGCAGACAGGGAGTTAGTGGTTAATAAAAACAAATTCAGTCAAGGAGAAGATGAGAAAGTTCTAGATATGATAGTGATTGGGGTGCATTATGGTATAAATTAATGTTATGAAATTATATAAAGTGATTAGTAAATTCTGTTATGTCTCATCATAAAAAACTATAACTGTCCTCAAGTATCCATGAGTGAGTGGGTTCCACAACTTCTTGCTGTTGCCAGAATCTAAAGTTGCTTAAGGTTTGTTTATAAAATGGCATATTCTATGTATATATAAACTATGTATATCCTCCTATATATTTCAGGTCATCTGTAGATTACCCATAATAGTTTTACACTATGTAGATATTTATCAGAGGATTGTTCAGGGAATATGACAAGAAAACAGTGTGCTCATGTTTGGTACAGACCTGAGTCTGAGGCTGGAGAACCCATGGATGTAGAAGTTAATATGGAGTAAACTAAGGAATTGTGTGCATGATCTTCCACAGAAAAGTAAAGTACAAGGAAGGACTAGAACCATGGCTCAATGGCTGAGAGTACTTGTTGCCCTTGTAGAAGCTCTGTTCGCAGCACACATATGGTAACTCCCAACCATCTGTAATTCCAGTTCCAGGGGTTTGATGCCTTCTTTAGAGCTCTGAGGTTACCAGGCATGTACATGATACATACATACACACACACACACACACACACACATATATGTATACACATACATACTTATATATGCAAAACACCCATACACATAATAATAACAACAACAACAACAGTAGTAATAATACTGCACAAACTGTTAGGAATAAGCTTAGGGATCACATTCAGGAAGAGTGGTAGGGAACATGAGTGGTCTTGTGATACAGTCTGTTGCTGAACTTGAAGCCTGTGTTTTTTGACTAGACTGGTAGCCACTAGCAATCCTCCTGTCTCTATTTTCCTTAGTGCTGGGGTTACAGGCATGCATAAGACCATACTCGGCTTTTATATGGGTGTAGAGATCTAAATCTCATGCTTCTGCAGTGAACACTTAACCACTGAACCACATCTCAAACTCCTACTTCACTGTTATTTTTCTGATATTTTTGCAACGTGATTCTTTGTGAAGAATCACAGAACTTGAAAATGGTGGGTACTGGCTGCTCAGTGTTTTCTTCTTCGTTTTAATTATGGTTTATAGAGCTTAAAGAAGCCCAGAGGCGGAAGAAGCAGCTGGAGGAAAGGTGCAAGGTTGAAGAGAGCATCGGAAATGCCGTCCTCACCTGGAATAATGAGATCTTGCCCAACTGGGAAACCATGTAAGCATTGTCTCGCTGTTGCCTACTGAGTGTGGCCACTCCTTTCTTGAGTCTGTGGGCAGCAGCTGTAATTGAATGAACACATTGTGAAGCCTTTGATAAAATTAGTTTTTGCCTTGGTGCGGCCTTGTTGTTCCTTGGACGTGGTCACAGCATCTTCCAGTTTATCTTTAAGCCTGAGCCATGTTTGTAAAGCTTATGCTTGTGTCACTGCATACTTCTTGTGAGTCTCCATATGAAATTTGAACTGTGTCCCTTGGTGGACAGCCTTCTGTAGAGATGGCCTGCCCTGCCTCTGCAGACTGTTCCCTGGGGCCACACCAGTGGGAACTGTTAATCTGTAACCTCTGGAATTTTGCCTGCCCTTTTGCTGTCTACAGTGTCCTGAACCTCTTCATCCTTCTAAATCCTGTTTATTCTTTAGCTCAATCTTTCCAGGGAAGATATTCCCTCCTCTCCGTAGGGAAAACTCCCGAGTCTCCTGGCACAGTCTGCTTGAGCATCTGTCTCTCTCTGAGGGTGGAAACCACTTGTCTTTGATGTCATCCTGCAGTGTCAGTACAGAGTGGAACCCCACAGTGTCTGGCAGCTGTGGCATTCTCACTTCTGAGGATCTACTGTATATCTCGTTTTATTCTTGTGTGGTCAGCACAGCATAGGCAGGGTCATTGTGATCAACTGACTTGAATGACAGTGTTATTCAGATTTTCCCAATTAGCATCCTGTCTACAGTAGTGTGTGACTGTCACCTGTCTCTGGGCTGCCCTGTAAGGCCCTTTGAAGCCTCTGTCCTACTACACTTCTGTAGAAGAGAGCTGCTGCCACGCCCCCCCCCCCCCCCCCCGCCCCATGCCCAGCATGCTTTCCCTGTGCCCTGCACCTCTAACCTATGCACAGCTCTCTACAGTCCTTAGGAGGCCAGTCTGTTTCCTCTGTCTGTGTTTTCTGCTCAGAAAGTACTTTCAGTCCTTCATGTGTGCTTCTGCCAGTCACTTACAACCTGGTTCACGGTGCCTGGCACAGCAGTGGAAGGGTTATCTGGATTTCAGTAGAGCCAAGAGGGTGAGCTCCTGAAGGAAGGGACGAGGGGGTGGGGCTTATGTGCAAATGAGCCTTTCTCATCTCATCTTTCTCAGAAACTCTGGCTTCCATTCTGTTTAGGTGGTGCTCTAAGAAGGTTCGAGACTTGTGGTGGCAGGGAATTCCTCCAAGTGTAAGAGGCAAAGTATGGAGCTTGGCCATTGGCAACGAGTTGAACATCACCCACGGTGAGTGTCCGCGTGATCCTAGGCATTGAGGTCCATCTCCGGGGTTCTGGGACTCCCTTCTGTTACTTTTGCCATGTTAGGGTGGATGGTAACCACTGCCATGAAGCTGTGATGGAAAGGCCAGGTAAGTCTGTCTTTTTTGAGGGTATCTGGGTAGTGGGTTCAGTGCTGGCTGCTCCAGTTTCCAGAGAGGTTAGAGCAGCAGACACAGGGCTCCAAGTCTCAGTGGGGTTCAATAGGCAGAGTCTCTTCTCAAAAGTCAGCTAGGAGAGTAGAGGTGGTTAGGTACTTAGGATGCCCTTTGGTAGGTTTTTGTTGTTGTTTGTTTGTTTGTCTTTTCAGCCCTAGAGAGGCTAGGACTGGTATCATTAGGGCATTAAGCTATCATGTAAGGGAGGGGGTAGACCCATAGTTGAAGTTTTTAAGCTGTTTATCATGTCTCTCAAGTACTTAGCTCCATTCTAGAGTGGTTGGCTGGAAGATGCAAAGCCCTGGATTCAATCTCTAGTATTGGAACCTTGAGAAAAAACAAGTGGGCATGGTGGTACACACCTGCCCTTGAGAGGCTGAGGCTAAAGGGTTGTTGGGAGATCTAGGACAGTCTGGGCTACAGGGTGAGACCTTATCTCTAAAACAGATTCCCAAATCTCTTTTGTGTTCTGCCACACCAGCCTTGATTTACTTATTCATGTATCTCTAGTGCCCAGTTAGGCTCTGGATACTAGAGTTCTAGGAGCACACAGATTGAACATGAAGCCTTAATACAGGGGAGTTGCATTTCTTGCTGTTGAAAGTAAGCTGCTCTGGCAGGCAGGCTTTTCTTCTTCCTCTTATGGCCCCCATGCCTACCTGCACATTGAAGTCAAGCTGCTTTTACTCTGGTAGAGACTCTTAAGCCTTCACACCTCTAGTTAGGTTACTGTGTTATGTGAGAAGATGTGTAATATCTGACTTGAAGTAGATCTTAGCCTCTCAGAAGAAGAGGTGAGAAGTTACTGAGCACGCAAAGATGTCTGTGCTTGAAAGTCTTCTAAACTCTGCCAACAGTTCCTGTGTGGCTAATCAGATATTATGTAGTGTTTGCATATTTAATTTTTGGCTCTCACTGATGCTTTAGTTTAAGTTACTTAAAACCTGTGATGTACTAGATGATAACAGATGAGGCTAAGAAGCTACCTAATTCTGGATACATTTTGCCCATCTACCTGTGCTTTGGTACTATCTCCCTCTTATATAGTTTGTCTGTCTGCTCTGAATGCTGCATCTTGTCCATTGTCCCCACATAGTGATCTTGCTGCACTGCTGTCTACTCTGTCATTTATGCCCAGTCTAATCTTTTGTATGTGGCAGGTCCCCATGAAGTATTTGTTGAATGAATAAATGCACTTTATGAACATGGCTCTGACATCACTGTACTGTTCCTCCCAGATCTTGGTCTGTTGGGTGCCAAGCACCAGCTGCTGTTCACTACCTCATGTCTTATTTAACAGCAGCTATGATGGTCTCAGGCAGGTCTTGGGACCTCCTTTTATTCCTGATAAAGGTTAGGCACTGTGCCCTGTATCTCTGGCCAGTGTATGTGAGATCAAGATTCTCATTCCACTTCTGGCTGGTTCTGAAGTTCATGTTCTGTCTTGGGAAGACCCAGAGTTTTATTCTTTTTGTGGTTGTAGAAATAGAAACTTACTGAGACTGGCAGTGTCCAGTAGCACTACCAAGCTTCACTCTTGATCAGGCATTGTGCTCCTGTCTGTATCCCAGCACTGGGGTTGTGTGGGGGATTGACAGCAACAACAAACAAATAAACACACCAACCTCCCTCTGACACATACACAACTCACACATAAAACACCCAAGCCTTACTCCTAGGGAAGATAGGCTTGTACTTTGAAATTGGGGCTAGGGGCCTTGGTGGCATTGCTTAGATGGTTTGCATCCACTTAGCATGCAAACCTAGTGATCTAAGTTTGATTCCTGAAACCCATATAAAGGTGGAGGAAGAGAGGTGATGGCACAGAGTTGTCCTCTGGCCTCTACATGTATGCTGTGGCACACGTGTGTCCTTCCCCCATCACACATATGTGATGCACAATAGTAAGTAGAATTTTAAAAAGAGGTTGGAGCCTGGGGTTCTGAGATAAAAGTATAACTGTTCTGCTCCTGCTACCATACATGCTGACAGTAAAACTGGGGGAGAGTCTGTGAGCTCGAATATGGACTCTCCTCATTCCTGGGTGGCCAGTCTCTGCTTGTAGCTATTGAGTTCTTCACTTGTCATGTGGAGCGCTGGTGGTCACATGCCATGCAGTTATTTTATGTACCTCCTCTGAGAATGACAAAAATATTTTGAACAAAACTCTTAATTTTGGATTCCAAGCCTGACTTCTCTACAAATGAAGTCTTAATAGTCCAATTAGGTTGAGTTGCAGTAAATTTCTAATTGTTCAGCTTATAAAAAGAACAAAGCTGGGACTTCCCATATCAGAACATGCCCACCTCCTGGAAGGTGAGTGGGCAGAGGTCCCAGTGCATGCTCTAGCCCCCAGCCCTGGACACCTTTGTGTTTATCTTTTGGATAACAATGATATAAAGTTTTATGATATAACTGTGCCCTTTTGACATGACACACAAGCATTGATTGTATGCATGTTAGAGCTGTCACAAGGCCAGAATGAGATCATTAGTCAACACTTTACTGGCTGGATTATAATAATGCCATTCAGTAAAATGCATGAAGGCTGCTATGCTTTACCCTGCAGAGTAAATGATGGGAAAGGTGAAGTGTTAGCCATGGTGAAAGGCAGTGATTTGTCAGCATCCCTCAGATAGAATGCCAGCGGTACAGGGAGTGGGACATGGGTGTCCCCAGAGGTCTGTGTGTGCTGTTGAGCCACGAGCATGGCTTGTGGCATTCCAGTGGTCCAGTCTGTCAACATGTAGCGGTTATTTGGAAATGAAGTTACCTGACTATTAGCAAACCACCTGGGGAGCAGAACTGCTGGAACGCAGGTTCTGAATATGAGAGAGATTTGGAGACCTAAGACAATTCTCTGACAGCAAGAATCCTTGGTTTTAGAGAACTCTGCATGTTCAGAGTACCAGTTCCCCCACCCCAACCCTTCCAGCAGCAAGATGAGGAATCCTGTGCCATATGGATAGCAAGCTCTTCATGTTCTTATCTGAAGGACAGCACTTATCTTAATCTCAGAAATCATAGTTCTGAAAGTTAAAATTCTGAATATTGAAATCCTGGAAACTGGATTTCAAAAATGGTTCCCATGAAGAAAAGGCTACAAGAGAAGGTCAAATTCTCTGGAAGGATTGGTTGTGCAAAGCAGCAAGGTCTAAAATGCGAGTATTTAAAAAAAAAATTTGTCTGCAGTGGTGTGTCTCCAAGCTAATGACATTCAGTAGCTTTTCAGGAAGTCAAGCAGCATTTGTCTGAAGAAGTCAGCAGTTACTTACCTGTTGAAAATAAAATATGTGGAATACCTCTAGAAGCTGGCAACAGTGTTTCAGGCTGATCACTGGTACTGCTTCTGCAGCTTCTGCTTCTGTGGTTTGTCGAATGCAAGTGGAATGGGTACGGGAAGTATAGTTCAAGAGACCAGGCAACAGGTGTCACGGGGAACAGCCATGTCTGTGTATGGTGAATCCTCAAAGAACTTAGAAAATTAACATGGATGTGTCTCCAAGGAGAACCATGGCCTAAAGGAAAGAGCAGCGTGGTGTATGTGTCAGCTTTTGTGGGCTACCTCCATGGAGCTGCCCATATTCTACTCCTGTAAAATGGTTTTATTGTTTTGTTTTTAAGCCTCCCCCATTTTTTAAGCCCCCAGCATTTTTTACAGTTTGTTATGTTGTATGTGTATATGCATAAATGTATGCATGTGTGTGTGTTTTAACGTTGTGTTTATTTTTTTTATGGGTATGGGTGTTTTGCTTGCACGTATGCTTGTGTACCACATGTATGTAGTGTCTTAAGAAGCCAGAAAGGGTGTTAGATCCTCTGGAACTGAAGTTACAGGTGGTTGTGAGCCACAGTGTGGATGCTGAGAACTGAGCCTAGGTCCTCTAGGAGATGAGTCAAGTGCTCTTAACTGCTGAGCCATCTTTCTAGCCCCTTTGCTCTGTGCTTTGTCTTCATGCCACTTTCAATGTTCCAAGTAGAAATTGCCCCAATTGATTTTGTGCATTCTTTCAGATTTGACTGTGTGAATGTGCATTACTATGGTCTGGATTGTGTGTATGCAGATTGGACATCTGTATTTGTAGAACATTCTTTGAAGTCTGGGCTCTTTGGGTGACTACATGTACAATGGTAACCTGTCATAGTTTTGATCAAAGATTTAGATCGTTTGACACAATGTTTCACATGGCCAGTTGGAACATTAGAATACAGTTATGAACCATAGTGATAGAGCTGTTCATACACTTTCCTTTTCAGCATATTTCTGTGTGTATAGGTCATCTGCTTGTGATTTAAGCATACAATGTCCTTCATCCACTGTGATGCTTACAGTTCACACTGTGATGACTATTTTGCTGTACAAAGCAGCACATGAAGTATTCTGTTGTTTTTGTTTCTCAAATCCCCCTCTTGATGTAAGTAAATGTCTTTAAATTTTTTTCTTTTAGAATTTTATTTTTAGGATTTTAGACTTTAAGAATGTCACTATTTAAGATTAAAGCATTTGGGATTGTCTTTGGAGATTATGACCCAAAGCCATTAGAAACCAGTTAGACTCTGTCTACCCTTAGTTCAGAGATGAGATACTGATTGATCTCTTCAGCCCCTAGGGCTAGGTCTAGATACAGAAGTAAGCAAGAGACTTTGACCTTCTAAGAGGCAGTAGGCCAATCACAGAAAGTGAGAGCAAGATATGAAGAGGTAGCTGTGTAGCAGAGGAAGACACCAAGCTCCGTGGCAGTGTTTGTGGTCTTCCTTTGTAAACAGTTGTCTTTTGGCAGGGTGCTTTCAGGCTAAACTGGGAAGAATGCCTTACTTTGTCCTGGAGAAGGAGATAATGTTCTCTGGTGTTTGTAGTACAAGTTCTAATGGGTTTTAATGATACAAGCTCAGAGACAGATATTGGGGAAAATGCTGAGAGATCAGAGCAACAAAAGAGCAAAACCATGGCAACCTTACCTCTCAACTTCCCAGCCAAAAAGAAACTAAGTTCCTGTTTCTTCCCACCTTATCACTTCCTCTCTCTACTCAGCCATATCATTTCCTGTCTGTCTGTACAGACCTCCAGACCTCTATGGTTAGCTAGTGACTAGCTCCGCCCTCTGATCTTCAGGCAAGCTTTATTTGTACAAACAAGCTATCACCACAGGCATTGGTGAAGGAACGTGTACAAGTAAGACTCACCAGTGACATTTCTTTCAGAGCTCTTTGACATCTGTCTTGCCCGGGCCAAGGAGCGGTGGCGGTCCCTCAGCACTGGCGGCTCAGAAGTGGAGAATGAAGGTACAACTCTGCCCTCGCTGAGCAGCCCCTCACAACAGTAGCACTCAGCACTGGCTCCAGTGTGGCTTTATGGCAAAGGAATTGTTACATTGTAGAAGGAATAGAACCCTGCAGTTCCTGAAAGGGTTTGTGTCTCCTACTCAGACCCAGTTGCTTCTTAATTAAAGTTGCCCAGTAGCCTGGTTCATTGAGTGCTGGCTTCTAGAGGCAGCAGCAGTACATATCTGTGAGATTAGAGGAAAGCCCCATTGCACACAAGAACAATGCCTCTATTGATGGGCAGTGTGATTTTTCATGCTATCTTATATGGTACTGGAATTTAAAAATATATAAAACATTATTTATGAATATTTAAACATAGGCTGTTCTTATTTTTATTTTATTTTTTAAATTGACAAGATTTTGTATGCCTAGCATGCAAACATGTTTTGAAACATAGCTTTATAATAAAAATGTAAGTAAATGCTTTTAAATAAGTTTTTAAAAATTCAGAATTATATTTTCATGATTTTAGACTTTAGGGATTTCAACAGTTAGGATTTGACTAGGTAATTTATACTAGGTAATATGTTATTACCTCACATAGATTGCTCCCCCTCACTCTATCTCAGCACTGGAGATGGAGCTCAGGGCTTACATAAACTAGGCCATCTTTTTGTTACTGATCTATGTCCCTAGTCCTTAATTTGTTGTGTTTTTTTTTTTTTTTTTAACTGGGGAAAACAACTTTCCTCTGGTCTTCACCTGTTCCAGTGGTACTATGAATAATTTGTTATAGCCACTATTTTGTAGGGATTTTTTTCTTATCTGAAATTTTGTATCTTTTGACCAGTATGGCCCTGGTTCCTTCCTGCCCCACCCCCCTGCCTGTAGTAAACCCATTCTGATTTCTATTTCTTTGAGTTCAACATTTTTAGATTGAATCCACAAATGATATTGTACAGTTCTTGTTTTTCTGTGCTTGATTTGCTTGGCACAATATCTCTCAGTTCATCTGTTGTCCATATCTGCTACCTTTATTTCATCTGTTTACCTGCAGACAGCCATGTAGGTTGAGGAGTTTCATGACTACCATGTATAGTACTGCAGTGAACATTCTCATTTCCTTTAGCTGCACACCCAGAAGCGGGATTGCTGGATCACATGTAGTTTTACTTGTTTTTTGAGGCAACACATAACAGATTCTCACCAGAGATTCCTTATGTGGAACAATCATCTTTGCTATGATTTCCCATGCCTAGGTTCATTGTGCGCATTTCCCAGCTTGTATTTATTTTCCTGATTGCTGTTGATGACAAGTAAATCAAACTAGATTTTGATTTTTAGACTCTAGAAAATAATATGATGATGCTCTGGCTGGTGCTGTGAGGCGTTGTAATCCCTGGAGTGAGAGATTCTGCACTTGCCGTGCACTCTTCATGAAGGTGGATACTGTTGGAGGGATTGAGCTGCTTGTTGGTTCCTGGCTGCTCAGCCCCGAAATAATCACACAGAAACCATATTATTTAAATCACTGCTTGGCCCATTAGCTCTAGCTTATTGGCTCTTACATATTAATTTAACCCATATCCATTAATCTGTGTATCACCACGTGACCATGGCTTACCAGCAAAGTTTCGGCATATCTGACTCTGGCAGCGGCCCCATGGCTCCATGGCATCTCTCTGACTCTGTCCTTCTTTCTCCCAGCATTCAGCCTAGCTTTCCCTGCCTACCTAAGTTCTACCTTGCTATAGGTCTAAAGCAGTTTCTTTATTCATTAATGGTAATCACAGCACACAGAGGGGACTCCCACATTGCCGTACTGTGTAAACAAGGCATAACTGATCTGTGCTTGTAGAGAGCATCTTTCTCTATCTCAGTTCTAAAGCTTCAGAGCCTGGTAATGACCCTGTCTGTGCCGAGGAGTGCAATGACTTTTGCTCTTTTGACAGATGCTGGGTTTTCAACAGCTGACAGAGAGGCCAGTCTGGAACTTATTAAACTGGACATTTCTAGAACATTTCCTAATCTCTGCATTTTCCAGCAAGTAAGTGGCGGGGATTTGTCACAAGTGTTATCTGTTTAAGTTTTGTGAATGTGGAGCCACGTGGATTTGTAGTCCTGCTTGAAAGGGTTTTGTTATATAGGGTTTTGGTGGGGAATTAGGTGGGTGTCGCTACAATGCATTTAGATATTTAAAATGAGTGTAACTGGTTCTTATGGATCATGTTTTTATTTTAAAGGTAATTGGTTCTTTTTGTAAAGTATGCATTCCAGTGTCTCAGTAGGTGGTGTGGAGGGCTTATGGGTGGTTGTGTTGTCAGAATGTTGCTCATGCTCTTCTGGTTTTTTGTTGTTTTTGTTTTTAATTTGGTTTTTTGAGACAGGCTTTCTCTGTGTGACAGCTTTAGCTGTCCTAGAACTCACTTATAGAATTGGCTGGCCTCAAACTCACAGAGATCCGCCTGCCTCTGCCTCCCAAGTGCAGGGATTAAAGGCTCTTCTCTTTATAGAACTCTAGGTAGCTGTGTTCTCTTGATAGGAGTCTCCATGTGATTTCAGGGACCTGCTGAAAATAGAGCCAGCAAGGAGTGCCTCAAAGCCTTGGTGAAGTCAGGATGACTGGCTGATTAGAGGTGGTGGGATTTCTGAGATGATGAGCCAGGAGGTATGGGGATGAACTCTTTGGGTGTTAGTGGAGCAAGGGAGGCCTCCCCTCAGCCATTTGGGCACAGACAAGGATGCCTGGCAGTAGATCTTAAGAGTCCTCTCTCAAGGCCTTGTGTTCTTTGAACCAAGAGGTGTACACCCAGAGGTTTTCCTTGAGACCTCCCTCCTGTAAGCTCTCTTCCAAAGTATTTCTACACCTTTTCCTTCTCCATGCTCACTGCCTTATTTGAGAGCCTAGGCATTGTAGGTCACCACAGCAGCCTCCCTCACCTCTCCTGGCTGTTGTGCCTCCTTCCAGTCACTTTTTTGCCTGCCGATCAGTATTTGAAATCTCAAGTCACGCACCATGGTTCCCAGTTTGTTAACATGCCTTACACACAGTGGTTTATGGTGGAACAAGACAGAATGAGTTGTTTAAGTGGCTGCAGAATGAATAGACCCAGAACTTTGAGTTTCGGTGGACTTGGGAGGAATGTGGTTGGACTGAACAATCTTGACAGCACAGGAGAGGCACTGTCCTCTTCTGGAGTGTGGAGAATCAGGTCGCATACAGGAAGAAGGCAGCTGTCTTGTCTGTGCATGCACTAGGTTTAATTAATGTAGTCTGACAGAGAGCATGTGCCTGGTGGAAGCACAACTGGGACAGAAGTGTTGGGACCCTGTTTCTGTGCAAGAATGTGTATGAGGACACAGTTGGCCCTGCAACCTCTTCACAGGGTTTCTCTGTTCTGGTGGATGCAGAACTGGTAAGGACTGCTCTTAAGCAAGAGCAGAGTGTGTTGAGCACAGAGTTCTAGGATTCTGGTTTGTGGCTGAGAAGCAGGCAGCAAGCATGACTTGGCCAGGAATCGGGCACTAGCCTGCTTTGAGGGCAGCACCAGTCTGAGTACTATGGGTGCCTGGGAAGGGAGGGCCAAGAGGACTCTTTGGGTTCCAGTGACAGGGTTGTTGCTGTCTCAGTAATTCTACAAAGCAGGGTCCCAGTGTCTAGGTGTAGAGGATCTTAATTCAGCTGGAAATGTTTGCATTTGAGTCCTTCAGACTCTTTCAGTCAAGGCAGGGGAAAAAGTTTATAAAGCTGTCCAGAAGTTTGGTTCAATGTCTAGCTCATAAACCCTGGTAGTACTGCCCAGACTTGGTGGCATGTGAGGACTCAGCTGAGCGGCATCTTCAGAATAGTTCTTTCTTTCTGAAGGATTGCCTCTCTCTCCCAGCACACTTCTGAGGCCTCATCCCACACCATACCTTGTAGCCCACTGCCTAGTCATCTCCTTAGAGGCCTTCTGCCTCCTGGACACTTGGGCCTTTCTACCTCAGTGGGGGCTCCTGTGACTCCAGCCCTGAAGAGGCTTAGGTAGTGTTACCTTATGAAGGGGGTTGACTTTGGTCCCACAGATTTGGGTTTGATTCTGATCAGTTGCCTTCTTACTAGTAGTTTGACCTCAAGTAAAACATTTAATCTCTCTGCCCCGTGATCTGTTCATCTGTGATTAGGGATGATCTCCATAGCTTTCTAGTCTCATTCTCAGTACTTGACTCATAGAGGGAAGCCATCAGCCCTATACTGACTATTAGTTATCTTTGACTATATTTGAAACTAAATGACAGTGGGATCCGCCAACAACTTAAGACTTTTCACTTCAGGCAGCTTAGAAGTGGGAACATGGGAGTCTTCAGAAGGAGCTCATGCTGCCTGGGCTCTTGACTGCCGGGGGAAGCCTTGTATCCTTTCTCATGGGCAGAAGTAAAACCAGAGATTTGAGACAAGGAAGCAAGTGGAACTCAGAGCATGGCAAGGCAGGCTTCTTAGCATGTTGTGAAGGTCCTGCTGTGCTGAGGGCCAAACCTTAGGGTCATGGAACCCTAAGAGCCCGTAAAGGCTCTACAGAGACTGAGGCCCAGCTTTGTATTACTGGGTCTGAAAAGGCTTCTCCTGAAACATGTCCCCTGAATTCTGCTTCAGAAGTGTTGAGATGGACAGTCCCTTGGTGCTTGCCTGGCAGCAGAGGGTGAGCTCTAAAGATGGGATGTGGAAGCTCTGTGGTCCCTTCTGGGTAGCCTATTCTCTCAGGCTTCCTTTAAGTGAAACTTTCTGGGTCAGTGGTTTTCAGTCTTGGGAATGGATAATACTAAATGCAAAGGCTGGGGAGAGAACCTGAGAGTCCAGCACAAGCTAAGGGCACTCAGGAAAAGAGCTGGCACCAACATGAGGAGATGGAATGACAAGGTGGAAAATCCTTTAAGGAAAGAACAGTATAGTTTTTCTCAGTCTCAGATCACATAGACTCTCTGCAGTCATTCTAGTCCTCAGGTCAGCTCAGCTCATGGATCTGCCACCATTGTCCCCAGCCCTGTATTTTGCCTCTCCCCACCCCCATTGTATTTTCTTTATTTGGCCCTATGTGCTTTGAAAATGTTTCTTTGATACAGCTTTTAAAATAGGTGAAAATGTAATGGTCTTTGCTGGAAATTGTGGCATATGCCTGTAATTCCTGCACTTCAGAGGCTAAGGCAGGGATTTGGCTATCCTTGGCTATACGGTGAGACTCCATTACCAGCCAACCAACCAACCAAATCAAAAAAGAAAATGTGGTAATCTAGTTCATGTCATTCCTTTATAAGCTACCCAGAGACACCTTTGGAGTAACTTCCCAGTCATATATACCAGAAAGAATATTTATTCCTGTGTTGTATAAGAGCATGTGGTAGATGTGGGCAGTAGGAACTTCATTTAGGTCACTTACTCTGAGGAGTCTTCGCTACCTGGTTTACCTACTGAGTTTGGAAAAGAGTATGACTCTTTAACATGAGCCAAAAGGCGGGCATTTCCAGAGGGCACTGCTCACAGCTGAACCTTTAGCTTTTCTAGAGTAGCTTCATAGACAGAATTGCAGACTTCTCATTAACAGCAAGTTACTAGCTCATTTTTTAAACTGCATAATGCGTCTAGAGCTGCTAGCACAGTGCTCAGCAAAGTCCCCCCGTGTGATCAGCGGGGCCACAGTGGTGACAGTAGTATTGGATGCTATTCTGAGACTAACAGTACTTATGCATGTGTTGATTTTGGTATGTCAATCCTTTTAGGGTGGTCCATATCATGACATGTTGCACAGTATTTTGGGCGCTTATACTTGTTACCGGCCGGATGTGGGTTATGTAAGTGATGCTTTCCAGTTTTTTTTTTTTTTTTTTATGATGTAATGGTCTATAAAGAAAGTCAAAACATTGCCCAGCTCTCATAGTGAATGCTGTTGTGGGCTTTGAAGAATATGAAAAATCTTGAAATAAATGAGTTGATTCAGTTTCCTTGAAGAAATTGGGCTGATATGGCTGCTCTGTAGCATTCATCACATTTTAACTAGATGTGATGTTTACATTTTGCATGTGATTTACCTCTGAAATTAAATAGAAAAGGCTTTACCATGAACAGTTTTTCGAAAGTGTGATGCTGCTGTACTTGTGGCTAAACAGATGTGAATGTATGCATGGTCTTACTTAAGCAAGCCTGCTGAGTTCATACAGGTGACCACAGCACCACAACCCGGCATGACACATACCAGGTGCAGTATTTCACATGCCAGAGGCCTAAAGTGAGGTTGGCTTAGATTTTCCATTAGAAGGGGTAGGGGATGGAGGGAGAGAGCATGTGCCTGATAGGCAGAGCTGTGGCTCCAAGGAAGGTGGATCTGATCTGATAGGGTTTATTTAAGGGGTGAATGGGTGACTGTGAGGGCCTTTTTAAAAAGCGGAAAGGTGTTTTGTTTTCTCTTAATAAATAAAAGCTGCTCTGGCTTTTGTGACCACATTAGTTAACATAACCTTTCTCTCCTTCCTCAGGTTCAGGGCATGTCATTTATAGCTGCAGTGTTGATCTTGAACCTAGACACTGCAGATGCCTTTATTGCTTTTTCTAATCTTTTGAATAAACCCTGTCAAATGGCATTTTTCCGAGTGGACCATGGCCTTGTGAGTATGCTCCGTGTATGTCCCAGTATCATGTCTTTATGCAGCAAGAACTACTTAATCATTCTGTTTTTTCACCCAATCATTGTTGTTTTCAAGGTGGGAAATGCATAATGGGCTGGTTTTTAATGAAGAATACACGAACTTAAGTGTAGAAACATATAGGCCATTGCCCCTTGTATGAACAGATGAATATGTTCTCCTAGGGAGACAGTGTGTCTGAAACACTGTACCCTTTCAGTGGAGGTGGGAGGGTGGCTTCTGTGCAAGCATACGCACTTCGTGTTAGGGAGACGTAACAGCACTGCCCTCAGTTGCTGCTCTGTGGAACACAGGCATGCACAGGAGAAAGGGAGACGTGCTCCAGACCCTGCTCCCTTATTTCAGCAAGGCAGTGGCTTAGTGTGCTGAGTAGATGGGCTTTGTCATTGGTGGCCTTTAAGAGACCCTCACATACTTCACAGCTGAGTCCCCTGCATAGTCCAGACATGGGAACAGACTGAGGAGGGAAGTGGCTTGTCAAGAATATCTGCTACATGGGAGAGCTGAGGTTTGAATCCATCTGGGTCCTAAACTTTGTTCTTAATCGAAGAAAACTCACTAATCCATCAGCTTTTAAGTTGGTGTTGCTTTGATTTCCTAGTCATTACCTCTAGTCTATCAAGACTTCACTCTCTAATGGTATATTGGAGCACTTCTTCCTTAAATGTCTTCAAGATCCCAACAGTCTGTGTTCTGAAGCTGCTGCTCACTCTGGCTGTTAGGGGAGTGTCGGCTAGCAGGGTCCTTCAGGAAGGTCATTTGGTATTCCAGAGTGTCTTTGGTACAAATTTCTTTAAGAATTGGTTTTGAGCCCGGTGATGGTGGTGCACGCCTTTAATCCCAGCACTCGGGAGGCAGAGGCAGGCAGATCTCTGTGAGTTCGAGACAAGCCTGGTCTACAGAGCTAGTGCCAGGACAGGTTCCAAAGCCACAGAGAAACCCTGTCTTGAAAAACCAAAAAAAAAAAAAAAAGAATTGGTTTTGAGAGCATTCATAATTGTGAACAAAGGAGTTTGCATAGAGATTGCTATCATATAATTGTATTTAATTATAAATATGAGAAGGGCTTAAAATGGAGTTGGGGAAATGGAGTGGTAAATTAAATCTGCCAAGACCCCAGTGCAGCAGTGAGTCACTGCTGTGTAAGGACTGTGAAGTAGACCGAGTGCAGCAGTGAGTCACTGCTGTGTAAGGAGTGTGAAGTAGACCCAGTGCAGCAGTGAGTCACTGCTGTGTAAGGAGTGTGAAGTAGACCCAGTGCAGCAGCCCCTGTGTAGTAGTAGGAAAACACCTCAAAAGCAGCAGCACCTAAGGACAGGCTTTTCATGAATAGCATTTTTGTCAAGCATGGTTGCTCCCACCCAACAGGAGCGCTTCCTTCATATTGATTGCTTCATGCTTTCTCCCCTCCCACCCTGCTTTCTTTCTTTTCTTACAAAGCTTGTAAGAACCTGGCCTGTTGTAGTGCCTTTGTTTGCTTTGGTCAAAGGCCTACATGTTTAAGCTGGAGATGTGTTGCCCTTCCCTCAGACTCTAGTCTTTTCTCTCCCTCTGTAAATGTGGTAGACATGGGCAGCAGGCAGCTTGCTTTTTCTGGTGTCTCTCACAATGTGGCTGCAACCTTCATAGCATTACAGACCGTGGTAAAGTCCCAGCTCTACCATGTACCGGTACCTTGCCCCTGTGTGGCAAGGTAAGCAATTGCTCTGGGTTTCAGTGTCTTCCCTGTAACTTGAAGAAATGATAGGATGTGAACACAACTGCTATGAGAAGCTTAGAGATAGTATTATGTTATCTACATGTTACCTGGGTAACAATTATTAGATTCTAAGCATGCAAAGCTCTTGACTCTTGTGGATTGGAAACTCAATGTTGATCATTAGTTTACTAGTGTATTTAACATTGTCTCCCTAGATGTTGACTTACTTTGCTGCATTTGAGGTATTCTTTGAAGAAAACTTGCCGAAATTGTTTGCGCATTTCAAGAAAAACAACTTAACTGCAGACATCTACCTGATCGATTGGTAAGACTCGGCTTTCCTGCTTTCCAGAGCACTTCTCATCCCTGGCCCATTTTCCTGTTGTCACTGCCAGTTTCTTGGAGGGCTCAGCTGAGTTTCCTTGTCCTGCTTCCCAGCTCCCCTCAGCCTTGAGTGCCTATTGTTTATTCTCTAGGCTCTTCGTCACAGTCTGTGACTTGACCGACCTTCTAGACTCCCTCAATAGACAGTGTCTTGCACCTCTCTGTGTTTAAAACGCTATTGCCAACCCAGTAAATGAGGCGTTTCTGGGCAGCAAGGCTGTGGCAGGCCTTTTACTAGAAGTCCACTGATGTAATGTGGGAGCTTGAGTTAGTGTGGAAGGGGGAAGCAGCATGTGGGTTGAGAGCTTTGCTCACTGCACTGCCCTGTAGGAGAGACTGAGATAGAAGGGGAGAGAGGAGGTGATGGACCCCAACCTAGGGTGATGGGGGTGTGGGAAACAGCATGTAGGGGCCTCAGAGTAAGCCAGAGCATAGCATCTGTGCTGGTGGTATTGCAAGGGACATCATAAAAGGTGTGGCCACATTACAGGGCTAGGCTCACAGGCTGGCTCTAGAAGTGCTGTGCTAAAGTTGAACTGCGTTCAGGCAGTGCCTTCTCTGATTATCCTTAACTCGGTTATTAATGGTCTGCATGAGCCTGGCTCCCAAGAGTGCTGGGTCCTGATGGTCAGGGGAGGTCCCGGTCACTAGAGGCTGCATGCGAAAATACTCATTGCTTTGTCCTTGGAGTTTTCTCACCCAGTGTCACCTTGCAGTGTGTGTACTATTTAGTGTGACTCCAGAGCCTTGCTCCATTTGTGTCCTGCCACCTCCTCAAGTCACATCTACGCTCAGAATTACTGGGTCTGACCTGAATCATGTTCATGTGCCCTACACAGTGCACAGAGTATGTGAGAAGCATCCAGCCCCAGGGATCAAGTGTGGCTCCATGGGTGCTCAGAGATGGCTGCATAGGGTGAGCAGACACCTAGTCGCTCTGCTCTCCACCCTCCTCCAGCCCCACCCATACTCTCAAGGTATCTCTTTTTCTAGTTCCTCTCAGAGCCTCGTGGTTCACTTCCATATCCTCAAGGCCTGGCCCTATCCTTGGTTCAAGTCCTGGGCAGGACAAGGACATTTCTGTTTCCAAGTCCCTTTAGGTGCCAGTGACCTAAAGCCACTTGTCCACTTGTTCTGCTGAACAGCCTCCTCCCCTTCTAGCCCTGCAGATCAGAGCGTAATGAAGGTAGCTGGCCAGGACCCTTCTTTAGCTGTCTCTGCTATGGACTTGAAGATCAGAGAAATGGCCTATCAGCTGTCTTCATTGCCTATGGAATTTTGAGTGTTCTAACTATCAAGTGTCTAAATACTATAGGAGAGCTGATGAGAGGTAGCTTAACTTCCCAGGAGATTTTTCCCTTGTTTCCAATGGCAGAGTTGTTTGGAGATGTGAGTTTTGTAACAATAATCTTGAGCTAGTCCAAAGACCTAGCAGATGCTCCATATATGCCTTGAGATGAAGAGCTATCACTCTGTGGGGTTTCCCCTTGTGGGGTAGGTTCAAGGAAGTGACTGCCAGTGATTAGGCTTCCATTGCATTCTGTACTAAGTTCATTCATAGGTCTCACCTCCTGGGCTCTGGATCTGCCCAGGATACCTTGAGGGTAGGTACCACATTGTAGTCAGGCAGAGAGAGAGAGAGGGAGAGGGAGAGGGAGAGGAGAGAGAACCCTCCAGCCCCCTTGGAAGTGCTGGCTAACTGGGGCTTTGAGTATGGTAGAAGGAAACTGCAGCAGCACTGGCTTACAGCTTGTTTGAGTGCAGGGCTTACCGTTACCTCCCAGGTGCTAGACCAGAGAGTATGCTGCTGACTCAGGGTAGGGCTGCAGGCAGTAGAAAGTGCTTTACTGAATACTCTTGGGACCAGGAGTGTTCTGTACTCAGTGTCTGAATTTGAACTGAATCTGGGTGGCCACCTTGGCTTTGTCTGCATGCAAGTCTACAAAGAAAGTTGGCTGCCACAGGCCCATGGGTTCTTAACTCACATCCCTGTTCTATGTGTTCCTGACTTTCTTAGAAACATGGGGAACGTGGATAGGATAGCAGCTGAGAGTGCTTCTGAACCAGTGTTGGATGAAAGATTCATTTCTAGGAACCAGTCTGTTTGAGCAAGTTGAACACAGCCAGAAGTTTGTTTCGTGGCCTGTAGGTCCAAGTCTTTAGCCATAGGTTCTGTGGGCAAGACTGTTAGGTGACATTTCCCCCTCCCTAAGCTGCAGTAAGGTTTCTACCATGCGCTTTGTTTTTAGTATCTTCATCTGCAAAGTGGAGGTAAGAATGCCCCCTCTTGGGTTGTAGTAAGGAGGTATGCTCCATAGAAGAGCAAGAGTGCCTCTGGGTTGTGGTTTGCAGTCTGGGGCTGCTCACATGTAGCCCTGGGTCTCTCTGTAAAGAGGACTGGCTCCTTGGGGGTGTGTCCTACAGCTTCAGTTCTTTTCATACTAATCCAGTGCAAACTCAGAAAAGTGATTGGATTGGGCATGGCTAGATTAAAAATATTTATGGGAATACTGAAGGCTCAGCCGGAAAGATTATCCCTTCTGCCCACATGTATTATAGAATAATGGATGCTCACAGCTCTGGTCTTACTCTTGAAAGCCCATGGCATTGGTGCAGCAGCACAGGAATGCATTCCTTTATAATAGTTGGACTCAGCCCTGAAAGTGCCTTGCTTAATATTTTGTTCAGTATTTGCAGGGGCCTGAGCAAAGAAATATCTCTTCTCAAATTCTGTCTTCCCACTGTGGTAGGAATACCATAAGGGCCTGGGAAGGCAAGGGACTTCAATTGCATACCCAACTCCTGTACATAGTCACTGGCTGGGAGCAGGGAGCCTTAAGTCAGAGAGAAGATATGAAATTGGGCTTTAAGATAAGGGGAGGGCTACGTGCGTACATCAACTTTCCTATTCTCTCTAGTTCCTCAGAGCCAGAGCCAACCTGGCATCAACTGCTGCCCAGTGGCTGAGCGAAGTGGCTCACCAGCCCATGGAGGTGCTTCCCAGCTCTTTTTCTATGACTTTTGAGCCTAACTGTGGTTTGAAATCTAGTTAAGCATTTGCAGTCTCCTGGTAACAAAGGGGAAAGAAGGGAATGTGAAGGGACTGCTGAGAACTGAGGGAAGACCTGAGTCCTAGAGCACTTATAGCCAAGAGCAGAGGATAGGAGGAGTTTAGTCACAGCCGCATATTCTTTGAGAAAACTCATGCTTTGATGGCTATAGGTGGCCCCTGACCTGAGCAGAGAGGGACTTTTGGAAGCATGTTACTGAGATGCCTGCTGGAGTCTGCAGGGCCCTAAAGATGCGAAGGTATGAAAGGCACAGAGAAATAACTCAGTATTAATAACAACAGAGCCCCTCTTTACCAGAACTGTACTGTCTCCGAGAGAACCGTGGGTGCTCTGTGAACTGTGACGGATAGGAAGGGGATGCAGAAGGTATAATGTGAACATTGACAGGAAACACTTGGTTGTGGCCATGTGAAGACACAGGGAAGAGTGGGCCTTCTCCATGCCAGGGAAAAGGCCTCAGAAAAAGCTGGGCACCCCTACTTATACCTTGATCTCATGAAGACACTGAGTTGTGAGGAAATAGGTGTCCATATTTAAGACTAAACAAAATTCCCCCATACAAAACAACAAATCAGCAGGAAGACTCATCTATCCTGAGGGTCAGAAACAGCCTCCCAAGGAGGTCACCAGGGCTGAGACTTGAATGAGGAGGTATCTGCTATGAAACAAAGATTTTCTTTAGAAGGCACATAAATTTAAAGGTAATATACTATTCTAAGCCGTAACCATTTGTACTCCATTATAGAACAAAGAATAGTTGTTAACAGTGAGGTCAGGTATACTCTTCTATGTGCAATGCAGGCCGGGAGCAATTTGATAGCCTTCACGTTCTGATGCTGGTTGTCGTTTCTTGACTTGGTCCTTTCTACACAGACTATTTGCACAGCTCTGTTGCTGGCACAGAATTTCCCTTTGAACTGACAGTCAAATGCATATATCACCTGAATGGCTGACTTTCAGCACAGATCATGCCTCAGAATATAAAATGGCAGTTTTATCCTTTGGGTGGCTCAGCCGGTGACCTGATGTCTTAGGATTTTTCTTTGCTTCCCCTCAACTGTCCAGCTCATACCTGATTTGGGCCAGCTCCCCTGCTCCCTCGGACTCTCACACTCCACTGAGGATAAAGTCCAGAGCCTATTAAACTGTCTAGCAGGCCTTGCTCATTCTGTGCCCTTGTTCTTCCCAGACCGCTTTTTCTCCAATACCTGATTTGCCTCATCATCTGGCATGATTCATCATCATGCTGCCCTCAGACATGGATTGGTCATGAACTCTGCCACAGGTGTGGAGAGCATCCTGGAGCTCCTCTCTTGGCCGCCTGCTTGCTCTTTAGGATGGATGGAACTGCCCCTCTTCAGCAGTGTGTTCTTCCCCGAACATGCGATGTAGAAGAGCGTTCGCATGTATTCAGCCCTCTGTGCACACGTCCTGACAGTTCCTTTCTATCCTTAAATCCCATCTGTGTTTGTCTGTGCCTTCTGCTCCTGAGTTGTCTGTTCAGCACTGTGTATTGTTATCACCAATGAGTAGCAAGTAGCAATACAGCAGGCTTCAAAAAAGTATTTGTGACCTAGGACTCTGAGACTTGACACAGGAGGATGGCAAGTTTGAGACTATCCTGGTCTTCTCTTTTCTTTTGGCCAGTGGGCTGGAGATATTGCTCGGTGGTTAACAGCACACACTACAAGTCTTTCAGAGGACCCATGTTTGGTTCCCAGCACCCACATCAGGTAGTTCACAACCACTTGTAACTCCAGCTCCAGGGAGACCTTGATGCCTTTGGCTTCCATCGGTACCTATATTCATGTGCATGTACTCACACATATATACATAATTTAAAATATTAAAAATAAATCTTGGGAGGAAAAAAAGGAGCTATTTAGAATCAGAAAGGTTTGTTACATAGCCATTTTTAGGGAGACCTAGCCTTGCTATTCCAGTACTGTCTCATACCTGCCTAAAGGAGTTGATGGAGTTCCACATGCAAATCTGAATTCAGTAGTTTTATGCTACCTGAGAGAAAGAAAAGAATAAAGTTTAGTTCGTGGATTTGGGATCAAAAAAAAAAATGTGGAGGAATCTTTTTTGTTGTCCTTGTTGGCCCTATCAGTCTTGAAGGAGATGGGAGACATGGTTCCCATGTGTGGACTGGTGTTTGCATGTGGGAAGGTGTGGGTTAGGTTTCTACATTCCTTACCTTCCCAAGGGCTAGGGTTACACATGTGTACCACCATACCCAGACTTCTCACTTTATAATACTAAACAGACACATGCTCTGGACGCACCTGATGACATGGACTCAATCCAGGTTAGAAGTGCTTGACCCTAGGGCAGAGGTGTTAAATAGTTTGGAATGTTACTATCATTTGTGTATGAGTGTATATGCGTGTGTGGGCATCCAGGGATCATTCCTCAGAAGCCATTCAACTTGTTTTTAAGGGCAGGGTTTCTCATTGTTTAGAGTTATCAAGTAGGCTGGGCAGGCTGCCCAGTGTGCCCCAAGGATCTGCCTCTCTCTGAATCTCAAGCCCTGAGATTACAAGTGCATGTCGTTGCACCTGGGTGCTGTGTGTCAAACTCAGGTCCTCACTTTACCACTGAGTTATCTCCTTAGCTCTTAATTATATCAACATATCAATATCGATATCTATATCTATAGATATAGATCTAGTTATATGGGGGGGGAGGGGCAGGGTTTCTCTGTGTATCTTTGGAGCTTGTCCTGGAACTAGCTCTGTAGACCCGGTTGGCCTCAAATTCACAGAGATCTGCTTGCCTCTGCCTCCTAAGTGCTGGGATTAAAGGCATGCGCCACCATCACCTGTCTTTTCAATTATATTTTTAAGAGAATACCTTTCATCTGATAGTTTGCATTATTAAAGTATAAGGTCAGTTTTTAGTAATCTACGGTCAGATTTATTGAGAAAACCAGGCATATACACCTATATTCCATCACTCAGAGGTTGTAACAAAAGAATCATGAATTCAAAGTCAGCATAGTCTGCTGTGTAACTAGATTCTGTCTCAAAAATCAAATAGTGACTTCAGAAAAATTCACGCCTTGCTGCATTGCTGACCCCCCTACAAGGAGAATGACGAATAGTACTCTCTCCTCTTTGTTCTTATTCCCTACCTGACTCCAAGCTCTATTGAGATGTATAGCCTGTCTTACTAAACAGGCATCTGTCTCAGGAAGCACTCAATGGTGACTGATAGACATCTGCTCCAAGTAGGAGTTTTCCATTATCTGTGATTCAAAAGTTTTGTGGTGTTTGATAACACATTGATGCTAACAGTGCTGTTTTGTGAAATGTACTTTGGCCTTCAGAGTGAATGCAGCCAGTGTCATCCACAGTGTATAAAAGGCAGGGACTCGGGGTGTTGTGCATGCCTAAGCCATCCCAAACCTCTCTCCAGGATCTTCACCTTGTACAGTAAGTCCCTGCCCTTGGACCTGGCCTGCCGCATCTGGGACGTGTTCTGTCGAGACGGGGAGGAGTTTCTCTTCCGTACCGCTCTGGGCATCCTGAAGCTATTCGAGGATATCCTGACGAGGATGGACTTCATTCACAGTGCCCAGTTTCTGACCAGGCTGCCTGAGGACCTGCCAGCAGATGAGGTGTTCGCATCCATCGCCACAGTCCAGATGCAGAGCCGGAACAAGAAATGGGCACAGGTTAGTGGGTATACAACACAGCTGTGAGGCTGAAGCAGCGTGCTGCTGAGTGAGCCTGCTCATGGCCTGGCTCATGTCTGGGTTTCTGGCAGCTCGAGAAATGTGTATAGGAAGACTGCCCCTATTCTGTAGTGTCAGTACTTCTAGGCCATCTCTGAAAGACTGTGCCAGAAAGCTCCCTTCCTCCCTAACCTTTTTTTAAAAGAACATTTATTGTTTTCTGTGTGTGTGACTACATGAGAGAGGGGCAGTGCATGTACCGCAACAAGTGTGTAGGTCAGCAGACAACTCTCCTTCCGCTATGGGAATCCCAGCATTGAATGCAGTCTTCAGGCTTGGTGACAAGTACTTCTACCCAGTGAGCCTGTTTCAGCAGCCCAAGACATTGCTTGAAGTTTGAAAATGCTTTAAAGCTGACTTTTGGTGAGGCTTGCAGATACCTTTGAAGATCTGGAAAGCCATTGACTTGCATGCTTTATGGGGGTGAAATGCCTATGAATTATAGTTCAGCAAAGCAATTAAGAAGATGTACTCAGTTCACACAGGAGCAGAACTGACGTTGCTATTATTGTCAGGAATCCAGGGGCAGAGGAGAGCCTTTCTTTGATTAATAAAGAACAGTGAATAGAAGCATGGGATCTTGGCTCTAACGTTCCTGAGACTTTCAAGATGTTGGCAACAGAGCCTGAAACCAAGGAGAGTCAGGGGAGTCCCTCTGAAAGGTGGGGCCTGTGTGAAGGTTTTTGGGATCTTCCATCCTATTGCTTATAGTGGCTTTTGAATCCAGATGGAAAGGTAGGTTGACGGTGAAGCAGAGCACAGCATGCAGTGGGTTCAGGAATGTAGCCTTTAGTTGTCACTGCTGTTAGGCAGCAGTGCAGTGGGGTGCTCCTTATAGGTGTCAACCAAAAGCTGGGAGAGCAGAGGAGGGAGCAGTCACTTCAAGACTGTGTCACACCTCTGTCTGGCCATCTCGCTCGTGAGAGGGACCAACTATGTGAGCATCATGGGGGAGGAGACTTGTTAGTGCCTTGGGGGAAACCTGGGCCGCTTTGCTTTGTTCAGGGGCTAGCCAGCAGCCCAGAGAACAGGCTTGTAGGGGGTGGAATGGGAGTGTTAGATGGCTGCTGTTTTTCTACTGTTCCTATGAAATTCTCGGGTCACTTGGCCTGTGGGTCTAACCATAGCTGTCTTCTCTGTGATTCTAGGTGCTGTCTGCGCTGCAGAAAGACAGCCGGGAAATGGAAAAAGGAAGCCCATCCCTCAGACACTGAGGCTTAGGGGTTCCTTGCACTTGGCAAAGAAGCAGAGCTCCACATGGCACCTCTGTGCTTTCAGACTGAAGCCTGTGAAGAACAGGGCTCTTTCCATGTTGGATTTCTCATGCTGGAGTTGGCCTTAAAACAAAGCAGCTCTTAAAGAATTACATCCAGGCTTAGCCTTAAGCGGCTCAGTGGACCTCTGCACTGGAATTGGTCATGGCTAGCACTGCATTTTCCACATGGGTTCAAGAAAGGGCAGGCTGTCTCCTTGCTCCTTTATTCCAGCGCAGTTAATTAAATTGTGATGCTATTATGCCAACTACTGGAAGGTATATTACAATCTTTCTTAGCCAAGAGGCATGAGAAATATTATTAGGAGACCACAAAGATGTTATTGGCTCGTATGTTGGTTAAGAAAAGAATTATTTATTTAGTTACTGAAATAATCTTTCCAGAGATGGTGGGGTTTTTTTGTTGTTTTGTTTTTAACTTCATTTTTATCTTATGAGCATTGGTATTTTATCATGGTTTTTCCAGTCCCCTGGAACTGGAGTTACTTACAGACAGTTGTGAGCTGCCATGTGGGTGCTGGAAATTGAACCTGGGTCCTCTGGAAGATCGGTCAGTGCTCTTAAACCGCTGAGCCATGTCTCTAGCCCGAAGGGTGTGTTTTAAATCTCCCTGCCAAGGACAGCATAAGGAAGATTGACCTTCTAGGATAGTTGCTGGTGAATGTTCATAGACTCCTGAAAAGTCACCTGACCTTTGTGTTGTCATTTGACCCTGTTGCCTTGACACATGACAGCAGAAAGACTGAGAGTTCACATTATGATCCCGCTCTCCCAAGTAACTAACATTCATTGCATCTTGGGAGCCATAGTGTTTGGAGCAGGGGAGCCACGTGCTGAGAAGCAATAGAGATGGGCCCTGTAAAGAAAGGAATAGGAAGAGACTGCAAAATTTGCTTCTCTTAACCTGCATGTTTCTGGGAGGCTGGTCATGGCAGCCTTTGAAGACATCGCCGTGTGGGAGACAGTTTCCTTGCTTTAGCTGAATGTCCCTTTTTGCCTTTGTCACCTGAGTAGCTGGACCCCTCCTAAGTGCCAGTGATTCTCTCCTGTACCCATCTGGCTTTAGAAGATAGGCTTCACACACTGCTGTGGGAACTGAAGAGAAGGGCAGTCTTCCGGATTCTCAGCGTCATCAGCCTTTCCCTTTCCAGCTGATTTCTCTCAGCTCATTGGTGAGGGTGTTGGTGGTGTAGCTTTTCCTTGACTTGAGAACTTTGTATAAGTAATTTGATTATCCAAATTCACAGAAATGAATAGTTTTTGCATAGAATAATACAAAAGACATCCAGTATCTGTGGAAACTGATTACCTCCTGATAATCCACTGGCATCCTTGTCCCTGAGGGTACAGGTAGGCCGGGATTGAGAACCTATTTTCCAGCAAATGCCTATGTGGTCTATAGTCCATAGCCCTCTGAAACCATACCTGCTACCCCCAGAAATCATCCTCTCCATCATTCTAGTGTCTGACAACCATTGGGGAGCCCTTGACTGACTACAGCATGTGGCAGGGAGACTTGGGTCGGCCTTATGACGGTGTATTTGCATGGGTTCCCTTCATGTGCTGTGCTTGTTGGTGATAGCCCAGTGCATCAGCAGGTTGTCATATTCACGCCATTCACCCATGCCACCACTCTTCTCCTGGAGTCTCATTTGTAGTCTCTTGGCTTCTCCAGGGAGGCTACCGAACACCCTCCATATAGCTCTCTGCCTTAGTGTGAAAGGCTGATGTCTGACCTCTTGGAGGAGGATGTCTTCATCAGCCATCCAGTGTCCTCCAGATCCAGCCATTCTTGACATCAGATACTGAATGTAGCCCAGGCCCAGCTGGCCTATGAGGAGCGGAGTACCCAGACCTGTCTGCTGTCGTTCCTTTCAGATGTACTTAGTTTTATTCCATGATATGGGCATCTGTTCTCTCAAGATGTATATATTTTCTTACTGTACATAAAGACATTCCTAAGTCATACAGAAAGTGTTGTGACAAGGGGACTTGGGCACCTTGTTGTGAATGCCATTGTGGAATTCTCTGTGTGTTCACAATCCAGCTCTTAACTTTTCTTGTTTGACATAAATCTGTGGGCATGGATGAAGTTCTCAAACAGGACTCCATGCCAGCCAAGCACTGACTGCATCTCTAGTCCAAACAGGGTTTTCATAGCCTGTTTGTATGAGCCTGATGTGCCCTCTCCTTAGAGGCTATACCGTTCCAAGTTCCTCTTCTCTGAGGGCATCTCTCCTGCTCCTGTTATGGCAAACTGGAAACAGATCCTACAGAAGTCTGCACCTCCCACCTCGCTTGCAGTTGACTTTCAGTCCTAAACTTGAGGGTGCTGGGCAGCTCTCACTCTAGAGGGAGCTTGCAAGGGAGGCTTCCTGTCACCTTGGGAGCAATGCTCACTTCAAAGGTACTTCTAACTACTCAGTTTGTGACTATATTTTCCATGTTTGCCAATAGGAAACTCCTGATAACACTTGCTACATATCATGTTTTAATTGCTTGTACAGTTAACCTTTAATTTTATTTAGTAAAATGTATCAAACTAGGACTTTTTGAATTGTAAATACGTGGTTTTATTAAATAAAGTCATGTAAAATTGTTACTTACGTTCACTGTGTTACTTTGGTTTAAAGCTGGCATTCTTGCTTTAAAGTGTAGCAGAAAGTATTTTAACTGGAGGCTTGTGAGACACAAAGCAGGGCAGTTACTCTCCTCCTCAGGGGATTCCAGAGTTCAGCATGTCCTCTCCAAGTCACTGGGGATCCCAGCTGTGCTGCACTCTCTGAAGCCTGCTTCCTTGGCCTCCCTACCATAAGTCTGCATTTCCATGACAGCAGACAACCACATTTATATACGCTGTGCTAGCTGCTGAGCCAAGGCTCTTCACACTCTGGAGCTTTCTCAGAACTTGTAAACCTGAGGGCTCAGGGGGTGAGCTCCTTCCTGTGAGCCTCTTAGGAAATGGCTGTGTAATGCAGTAGAGTCCCCAAGCTACTTGGAACCAGGCAGGACAAATGCTTGTATATGTCACTCTCCTTTCAGTCCCCCAATGCTATCACCTCCAAACCTCCCAAGACCACTGTAAGATTGATTGCCCATTGAGTTACAGCCTCCAGCAGGGACAGACAGGTTCCACCTTTCCTTCTAAATCAATGGCTTTATTCTCTGAGCCACTGTTCTTTGCATGCCATGAGGTGAGGTGCTAAGACTCTGGTCTGGGGTTGCTGAGTGCTAGCTGACTGTTCCAGCCACACCAGGCTCTGGACCAAGTGTTCTTTCTACATGGATTATTAATACTAATCTTCACAGCATCCCCACATAAGAGACTTGTTGTTCCCATTCCAAGAATATGACACAAAATGCTTGCTCAGGCGCCTACAGCAGATTGGTGGAGCTGGTCTCCATACCACCCGAGAGATTGCATGCTTTCTGGAGATATCACACTTGCTTTGTACCTTTTGGAGCCCAAACACAAGGCTGGTTGTGGTCTACATTTCTCATTCCTTCCAATACTCCCAGTGTGCATTGCTGAATGTCGTCAATGTGGGGCCAGCAGTTCAGAAAGCCTGCCCATCATGAGCCTGCCTAAAGAAAGAGTGGAGGAACTGCTACAATAGTGTCCAGCAGCAGGAGGAAAGTGCTATTCCTGAACCTTGAACAGAGCTTTCAGGCGAACAAGGGCAAGGGCCTGCCCAGCAGAGGGCAGCCTTGGAACCTAAAACCAGTTCTTAAATAGGACCTATAGGACCTCATCAAGATCTGGAAGTGCTTGAACGTGAATGGAAATAAGTAGATATGCTTTGTGTGGGGCTAAATATGCTATTAAATATTTGATGTTATTCAAGCCTGCTGAATAACATGGCCATGGCATAGTGTCTATATCTCCTCTGTCAGCACTGCCAGCAACCCCCCACTGCTGGCTCATTCTGGAATGACATGCTGCTCTCTGGTCTTAAGTCAGCCAACAAAGTCCCTCTTTACCCCTTCCTCCAGGATCTCTATACCTTGCAGGGAGTTTTGTGTGGAGTGAGAGAACCACCTTTTCTCCAAGTAGCTTCTTGTGCCTGTTTTAGAGTTCCAGGAGATACTCCTAGCCAGAAATAAACCCAGACTATACATAGTTTGGCTGGAGGACAAGAGCAGAACCCTGGAGTTGAATCTCACAGTCAGCGGTCAGCCATTACCATTTAGAAACTCTGATCTTGGAGAAGTCACTGAAATTCTCTAAACCCAACCCTTTTCCTCCCTTTGTAACTAAGGCTGAGTGACCTAGCTCCTTTCCATGGGCCTATGAAATATTAATAAAAATTGAACTGTCCCTTAACCCATGAACATTCTCTAGGAAGCTAGATTTGTGCTTTTAGCCTATAAACTTTTAGTATCTTGTGCAAGAGAGAGGATGGGGAGGGAGAAGAAGAAGAGTGTGGTCTCACTTTGTAGCTGTGATAAGCATGCACCAAGCCCTGCTTAAACTGGTATGTGGCTATACATTTTCCAGTTCAGTACTGGGGAACCAACTCAAGGCCTTGCTTGTGCTAGATTAACACTCTATCCCTGAACTACATCTTCGGGACTTTTGCTATCTTCTGCTTATGAAGTTAGGAATGTGAAAGTGTTCCCTTGAATATTTGCATGTTATTTATATATTATAAATATTAACATATGTAAGCTGAGGATATGGAAAAGCACAAAGGGAAAATTCATCCTAATGTTACCATCCAACAGAAAGCACCCTTTTTTTTTTTGAATGCTTCTTCTCCATTTCATGAATCAGTACGATGAGGCTTAGACAGGTATCTATTTGGGTCAGCAGGATCACAGTTTGGGCATTCCCCCATCTTTTAGGTATACTTGTATTTCTCCTTGACAGTTTTTGGATGAAATGTTAGAGTTGAAGCTGGCTGTGGCAGCATACACCTTTAATACTAGCATTTGGGAGAGTCACAAATTTGAGCCAGTTGGCCTTTAATGTGATACTCTGTCTGATTTTTTTTAAATTAGGGAGTACAATTTTATTAAGCTGGGGCAGTGGTGGTGCATGCCTTTAATCCTGGCACATGGGAGGCAGAGGCAGGCACAGATCTCTGAGTCTGAGGTCAGCTTGGTCTATAGGGATAGTTCTAAAACAGCCAGTGCTACTCAGGGAAACCCTGTCTTGAAAACAAAAGCAAAACTAAATAGTGCAATTTTATTAAAATATGCACATATTTTGCCATTGATTATTAAAGTAAAACTAAGGATAATTTGAAAGGTAGCTGGACCAGTCACTACACAGCTCTCGTGCTCCAAGATGCTTTCCTTTTATGGCATGTATCACTTGCACCCTGGAACCTTCTGAGGTTAAATACATGGATTTAATACATACTTTATGCACAGGTAACTCATACCAGTGCTAAACCCTAAATTATTATCTGTGGATGAACTTACACAAACCTCTTTCTACTTATATAATTAAAGAATCTTAACTGTAGCAAGTCACCAAAATTGTATCAAGTCACCAATACCTTAGGCTGTCCCTGAGTAGGTGGCTGAGTTAAAGACCCTCCTTTGATATTGAAGGGGACATTTCTCATGCATATCAACTTAAAAATTTTTCAGGCCCTGAACTACTTGATGAAATTTTCATGATCAAGCACTCATGCTGAATCTAATTAGAACCACATGGGGAGGTAATCAAAAACGAAGGGTGTCTTGTAATTAGTTGTAATCCCAGCATGAGTGTTGTGATTGAGGACCCACTGGTGACTTACTAGATAATTGTTTGTTAGAACATATTTGCAATTTAGAGGCATGCTAACTTTAGTGCCTTGCATGACCCACTGCTGACCTTGTTCAAGGTTCATGAGGGAGCATTCAGTTGGTTAGCTGATGGGTAGAAATCAGCTGAATTAATCAAAACCCCAAAGGACATCATTACAATGACAAACTGTCACTTCTAGTGCCACTGCTCGGTTCACTTGGGGCCTCTGCAACTGTAGAATCCAGGCTCCCTCTGCTGTTGGAGCCACAAAGAAAACATTGCAGTTGCAGTAACTAACTGCTTCATTATGACCTTGATGGACAGAATAGAGGAAAAACCAAAACTATAACAACTGTGTGTGTGTAAGAAATCAGTTCTTGAACTATCGTCAGTAATGCATTTGAATGGTTTCATGTCAAGTGTGTTCAAGCCATGGAAGTCATAAAAAGGATTTTACATTTTATTGACTTCAAAGCCAATATACTGGCCGGGCGGTGGTGGTGCACGCCTTTAATCCCAGCACTTGGGAGGCAGAGGCAGGCGGATCTCTGTGAGTTTGAGACAGCCTGGTCTACAAGAGCTAGTTCCAGACAGGCTTCAAAACCACAAGAGAAACCCTGTCTCGAAAAACAACAACAAAAAAACAAACAAAAACAAAAAAAAAGCCAATATACTTTAGCAAACAAATTGTGTCATTTAAAGCAAGAGGGTTGTGTAATGACAACAGCCAGGTTGTTGATGATAGGTTATGGCTCAGAAGGTAAGAGTACTTGTTTGAAAGCACAAGGATCTGAATTCAAATTCCCCAATACCCACATAAAAAAGCCAGACTTGGCCTTGCATGCCTGTAACCCCAGTGCTGGGGAACAGAGACGGGCAAATCCCAGGATCATCGTGCTAGCCAGGCAGTCTAACTGAAAATGCAAGCTTCTGGTTGAGTAAGAGACCCTGTCTCAGAAAAATCAAGGTGAGGAGCAAGAGCTGTCTCCACATGCCCACACACCCACCCGGAGAGATGAAGGGAATTTGTGAGCTAATTCAAGATGATAGTGATCAGACCAGTGCACAGGGGTTTTCTGTACCTTGGCCACTGGTTGAACCCTTAAACCATTCTTACATGGGGACAAGGAACAGTTTTAACACCCCTCTAGACGATGGGACTGCTTGGCCAGAAAGGCTTTTCTTCATTAGTCGGTTTAATCACCCCACTTTCTCTCTGTAGATATATTTTACTTAACCCAATGTGTTCAGCAGGAATTTGGAAGCTGGCAATGACAAAAATAAAGTTGCATCCCAAGTCACTTAGAATGACTATGGGAAGGCAGAAGAGAGTCGGGGACAAAGTTTCTAGAGTTTTGGAGGTTTTGCCAACTGTCCTGTCAAGAGGGGAGGAATGCTTTGGCTTCCCTGATCTTTTGCTTCACCCCTTTGCAGGACAAGGTGAGCCCCGCATGATGACGCTTCAGGGATTCCAGACGCCTGTTGAGAAATTTTGTCTTATCCACTTTTTCTTCTAAGTCTCGGAGGAGTGATTCCTTACCCAGAAGCCCACATTTCTGATTCAGTTTGACGTTGTCACTTCGCAGGCTGTCTCGGGCTTGCTTTGTCTTTGTCAACAGGTCTCTTCCTAGGGCCACCTGGGCCTCGATTTCCAAAAGTTGTGCCTTTTTGCAGGAGTTCTCCGTGTCTATGAAAGACAGCTTTTCCTTCACGTGGGTTATTATCTGCACGTTGCTGGTCACTTTAGTGCGCAGTTTTTGAAGTTCTTCGTTTCGTTCCTCGACTTTCTCGTTGAAGGTCTGGTTCTCAATTTTGAGCTGTTCAAAGTCGATGAGGAGCAGTCCCTCAGCCAAGTCCTCCTGGGCTTTCATCCTGGTTTCAAAGTGTACCAGGCTCTGCCTCAGCTGCACGTTCTCGAGGCGTAAGGCGTTCATCTCCTTCTCCTTTTTATCCTCCAGCGCCTGAATCTGTTCCACCTCTCTCAGAGCCGCCTGGCGCCCACCGCGCATGCGGCAGCTGCCCATGACCTGCATCACCACCTGCTTCTTGAGGGTCTGGAAGCGCCGCCACTCTTTCTCCACCCTGGCCTGCTTCTCCTGGCACTGGTGCTTCAGCTCACGCACCTCCTCGCGGTACCACTCTAGGTCGTCCGCCTCTTGTTTCTTCAGTTCCTCCAGCATGGCCAGATAGCGCAAGTATGCTTGCTCTTTCTCCGGAGAATCTGGTTCCGCACTCTTGTCCGCAGGTTCAGCTGCTTCCAGGCCCTTCTTGCGTAGCGTATCAGAGATCTTCTGCTGTAGGTACACATTGTAGCGCTGGTATCGGTTCCGCTCCACCAGCAGGGCGTGATACTGGTTCACTAGCTCCCCACGCAGCTGCTGCTCTTGCAGCTTCTGAACATCCGCAGACCACTCGAAGTCGTCGTAGTCCCTATCCTTATCTTCCTCTTCCTCTTCTTCCTCCTCTTCAGGGAAAAGATGCTCTTCTTTGCTTTTCTTGCGTCGTTCTCGACCTATCGTCTCGAAATCCTCGCTACCTCGCTTCTGCTCAGACTCCTTCGATTTCTCTTTCTCTGCCCGTGGGGCTGGAGCAGCCGCTTCTTCGACGATCGTGGTCAGCGGCAGTGAGGGCCGGAACCGCGACTCCTTGCTCTTCACCCTCTTTACCTTGTCCTTCTGCTTCTCTGGCCGGCTGGGTTCCTCGTCCTCGCTCTCCTCATCTTCGTCGTCTTCTTCGTCTTCGTCTTCGTCCTCGTCCAGCTCCTTGGATTCCCGCTCAGTCTCGGGATGGGGCTCTGGCAGACTCTCTGGCTCTTGGGACACGGCCTCGCTCGCGGCCTCTGCTGCCTCGCCTGTAGCCTCAGCGGCCTCCAGACTTTCCAGGACCTCGACACGCGCATCATCGCTCCCCTCCGAAGCCTCTGCTTTGGGGCCGTCCGCAACCGGCCGGGTCTCCGGCTCCGGTCCCGGCTCCGGTCCCGGCTCCGGTCCCGGCTCCGGCTCCGGCTCCGGCTCCGGCTCCGGCTCCGGCCCCGACTCCAGCCCTGGCTCCGGTCCCGGCTCCGGAGGGTCAGCCGTGGTCTGAGGTTCGGAGCTGACCTTGATCTCGGATGGCTGACTGGTCAGGTCTTGCTCGGCTCCACCATCGCCCGCGGTGTCCCCGTCGTGGCTGTCCATGCTGGACCCACTGTCTCGGGTCTGAGGACCGCTGCTGCCTGCTGTTAGGTTTCCCGGGGCAACCAGGGCGCGCGCGGTGAGCCCCGCGATTGGTCGCCCGCCTTCCCTTTCTCGCCGCCTCCCAGTAATATTAAACCAATGAAGGGCCACGAACAGGTGAAACTTGGCGCTGATTGGTCGCTGGCTCTCGAGAGGTGTGGCGCACACCACCGGCTTCCGTTCTGCGCCTCGCCGGCTGTCAGGCTTGGGGCGGGGCCTTGCGGCTGAGCGAGCCCATAAGGCGGAGGGAGGCGGCGGCACGCAGGCGCAGAGCGGAGGTTCGGCTGCCCGCGAGGGGGCGCGCGCGGGGCGCCTGCGCGATGCGGCGGGGAGACAGCGGCGTCGGCGGCGGCGGCGGCGGCGGCCGGGCCGGGCCGGAGGGCGCCTGCGTGCTGAGGCGGGACGCGGTCCGCCTGGCGGGCTCCGGCGGCGCCTGGGCGGGGGCGGCCGTGGCAGCGGCCGGCAGCAGCGCGGACGCGGCGGGCACGGTGGGCCCGGCAGGCGGCGGGGCGCTGACGGCCGGAGGCGCGGCGGCTGCGGGCCGGGCGGCGGGCGAGCGGGGGAAGATGGCGGAGCTGGGCAAGAAGTACTGCGTGTACTGCCTGGCCGAGGTGAGCCCGCTGCGCTTCCGCTGCACCGAGTGCCAGGACATCGAGCTGTGCCCCGAGTGCTTCTCGGCTGGCGCGGAGATCGGCCACCACCGCCGCTACCACGGCTACCAGCTGGTGGACGGCGGACGATTCACTCTCTGGGGGCCTGAGGCGGAGGGCGGCTGGACCAGCCGCGAGGAGCAGCTGCTGTTGGACGCCATCGAGCAGTTCGGCTTCGGCAACTGGGTGAGCGGCGGGCCCGAGCTAGGAGGGCATGGCTGGCTGGCTGGGTGCACCCTGCGGAGGGCCTCAGGTGGCCGGGCGGGATTGCCCGGAGAATGTTGGGTGCCTGCGGCCACACAGCTGGTAGAGCAGGGCCTTGACCTGTGGCCCTGACACGGAGCTGTCTGCCCTTCACACCCGTCCTCAGAAGGTGTGCATTGAACACAGGCGGAGGGCAGGCCTTGTGCCTTGCCAAGCTTCTCGAGCCAGATGGCAGCAAGCTAGACCCCACAATGCCTACTGAGATCCCTGGTAGGGTTGGGTTATCCTGGGCACAGTGATGAGGAAGGTCAGAAGCCTGGGCTACCCATCCCGCATGCACTTAGTCTGCATTCAGGGCTTCGTGTGCTTTCTGTGGGTGTCAGCATGTGCCCAGTGATAGGGTTCTCTGTAGGTACCAGTGTCTTGTTTAATTCTTGCTCTCCACAGCACCCAGGACATGGTGTGATGGGTGGTCACTAAAGAATGAACAAAGGCGTCTTCCTGAGGAGGCATGGAGCCAGGGGTCCGCTTACTAGTCGTCAAGTTTCTGTAGAGGTGACTTGCTGGTGGTTGTGTGTGCCAGCCAGATAGTGCACTGGGCTCCTGGTTGTTATCTCCTTCTATTCCTCACATGTATTAGGGAAGAGCTCTGTCTGCATTGTCACCATTACCACCCAGCACATGTAGCATCTTCAAGCTTTCAGAAAAGCAGGGAGCTAAGCCTGACCCTGCCCTGTCCAGGCTCTTCCCCAGTATGGTAGAGTCCTGCTTCTCTGAGCTTCCCTACTCCAGCCATACTGCCCTCCTCTTCCAGGTTATCACACAGTGGGTGACCTTCTGGACCCACCTCCCCCACCTAAGATTCTGCTCTCCAGATGCTTTCCCTATGGGCAACCCCATGACTCCTGCTCTCCAGAAAACATCTGGTTACTTTGTCTAGAAGTGGAGTTTGTTGTGTAGTGAGCATTTGCTTTGTACTTATCAAGCACCCTGAAGAGGAGCCTCAGAGCTGAAAATGTTGCTTTCGTTTGCTCTGTTCCTGGAGCTTGTCTCTTACCTGATGGCATCCATCCCTCTCTACCTGATTGCCCTTGGTGACCTCGCCTCACTTTGTCCTCAGCTTCAGAGCCAACTTAAAGCCTTCATCCTCCTCCAGTTGGTCTGCTGTCACCTGTTTAAAAACTGTGCAGGCTGTAGCTGCCGATTGTGACCTGAACCGCTTTGGCATTTACCTCTTGCTGTGACCACTTCTCATGGCTTACCTGCTTTCTCCTTTTGTTCTATAGTCCTGCTCTCACCAACACAGGACTTTTACAACATAAACTGCGTCTCTTTGGCCCTCGGCAACTAACTTCCAGCTCTACTTAGAGTACACTGCAAGGCCTGACAACGCCTATGGTTGCCTGTGTCTATGGTTCTCACGCTGCTACCCTTGACCAGTTTTCCTCTTTTCTGCCTGAAGTGCTTTCTAGTCAAGACTCCCGACTGGTCTTTGTCCTCACATGTCACTGCTGCAGAGAGACTTTCCTCCCTCGCGTCGTCCCTCTAGCACTTTATCTCCACAGCAGCCACCGAAAAGAGTGAAAGTACTAGTTTCGGGGAGCCCAGCACTGAGCTCACTTCATCTCTTGAAACTTGGGCTATTCTCAGGGAACTCTGGGAGAGGGGGCAGAAAGAGTGTAAGAGCTGGAGGGGAAGGAGAACAGGGCACTCCAAATCAAGTAAGCAAAAGCTCCTGTGAACTTGCAGAGACTGAAGCAACAACATAGGGCCAACATGGATCTGCACCAGGTCCTCTGTGTATATATTAGAGCTTTCAGGTTAGCGTTTTTATGGGTGTGTGAATTAGTGGGTCACTGATTCATGTGACTTTCCTTGGGGCTCTTTTGCTTTATTGTTTGCCTTGTCCAACTTTGATGTGATGGTTTTTGTTCTATATCACAGTTTATTCTGTTAAAGAAAAGAAATCTTGGACTGTAGAGTCCATACTTCAACTAGTGTTTGTGCCCCATTTATGCAGCAGTCTCAGAAGCAGACAGCACCCAGGAAGTAAAGCATGTAAAATGTGGATGAATGAACGCTGGGAGGGGAAGGCCTCTTCTGAAGCAGCGCTTTCAGGCTTTAAGGCCAGAGGAGCTTGAGATGCCGGTTCTCATGAGGCCCAGGCTCAGCTTTGGAAGAAGTGAAGCCCAAAGGGAAGAGTCTTGGGGCTTGGCTGCCAGTCTGAGAGATGCAACACTGATCATCACACAGGATAGGGGGGCTCTGTGACCCTGCTCCCTGTGCTCTCTTAGGCCAGTTGCCTTACTCCTCTGAGCCTTGTTTTCTTCACTAGAGGCACCACAGCTTGGATATGCGGTTCTTTTTTGAGCTTGTATGCTATTACACAGAAGTATGTCCCAGTATGGACCTGTGTAGAGCCTGTGCCAGCTCTTTGCAGTACCCTTTATGTACACAAGTCCTGTGACTTGCACAAGCAACACTGTGGAGTGAATTTATGTTCTACTTTGCAATTGAAAGACAGCAACTGTGAGAATCTAAGCCGCTTGCTACGAACTTTATAGCTTTGCACATGATGGCTAGGTGTGATTATAGCCTGGGTCTCCACTGCAGCACTAAGAGCATTAAGTACTGTGGTTGGAGACCAGAAGCTTACTGGTGCAGTTGGCGGTGTGGTACTACCAGAAAGCTTACACAGGGTCTAGTTGGGATCTGTACTACGGAAAAGTCACAAAAGGGAGGATACCATAGTAGGGAGAGTGACTGAGGAAAGAGATGGGTGGCCCTCAACAACACACATAGGTCAGGCCTGCCAGGGTGCTCAGAACCTCCAGACAGCTGCGCTGTGGTGGACTCTGCTGGTTGGATGATGCAGGACCTCTGGAACGTGTGAGCACAGACATGTAGACATGCAGAGGTTCAGGGTGATTAGAGCCTTTGGTAGATGAATCGCCAGTTTTGTTACCTGGCTATCAAGACACTAAACTGTCAGAGAGGAGACAGTTTGAGAGGACCAGCTCCTCTCCAGGGACATCCAGTAGAGGGAAGTGGGGCTTGGCCAGCTTATGTAGTTTTGGATGTAGTAAGAGGAACCAGTGGAGAGGTTCTCGTGCCTAGGGACAGGTAGAGTAGCCTGGGTAGTACTTCTTCCCTCTTTAGATGACAGTTGACATGCCCAGTGTGTGGATTGCTGCATTGTTTGTTCATTCCTCTGTCCGCTGGCATGTGCTCAACAATCTGCTACGGGCTAGCCCGTGTGGAGGGACACTGCTAGGACAGCTGTGACCTTGCAGCGTGGGTGAGTAGACTCCATGTTCAGTGGTGAGAAGGACTAGAAAAGACTGCATGGGTGGAAGGTAGCATAGAGGAAGGAGGTATTTTGTGTTCTAGGAGTTGGTTGTGTTTGTGAGCTATGCAGAAGCTGGCTTGCCCCAAGTGGAAGGCTGAAGATGAGGGCTCATCCTGTGGGGTGTCGCATGCAAGCTTGACTGTAGTCATGATTGGAAAAACCTTAAGCCCCAGCCAGTGTGTGGTTGGAGTATTAAAAGCTGTTTCCCACTCCTTGTGCTAGATGCCAGACAGGGCTGTGATGGGGGTGTTAAGGTTGATGCCTATTTCCTAGTTCCAGGTCTCAAGGCAGACATGTTGCATTGTTCCCTCACTCTTACAGTTCCCCAAATTCTGATGCTCCCCACTTACTGATGAAAAGCAAATGGACTGAAGGATGAGCCCAGCTAGAGTCTGGGCCCAGGTCTTTGTGGTTCATGTCTCACTGGGACAATGACAGCCTAGCACAGACCTGCTGGTGACAGGTACTGGCCAGACACTGACTTGTCATCTATAAGATCTCAGGGACCTAAAAAGGCTATAGGGCCATCTGCCTTTTCACCAGGTGGCTTGCTTAGTTAGGGGTTCTGTTGCTGTGAAAAGACACCATGACCATGGCTACTCTTATTAAAAAAAAAAAAAAAAAAAAAAAAAAAAAAAAAAAAAAAAAAAAAAAAAAAAAAAAAAAAAAATTTAATTGGGGTGACTTATATTTTCAGAGGTTTAGTTCAGTATCGTCATGGCAGGAATGGAGGTGTGCAGGCAGACATGGTGCTGGTTACATCTTGATCAAAAGGTAACAG